AAGGTGAGTTGAGTGCATGCCCATTAGTGCGTGAATGACAAAAATAAATGCCTCAACACATTCATCTGACAGACCATTTTATTCATTTGGTCTGTAAAGCACCACAATGTGATTGTTTGAATGTGGTTGTTTTTTCATTTCCCCCCACATGATGACGAGGCTCATGACATTGGTTGTACCCTAGAAGAAACATGATGGATAAAGCATGATGCAATGATTTTTTAATGAGCAGCTTTCCCTTCACACAGCTGCAAACAGAAACATAAAATAGATGGATGTTACATCCTGAATTATTTAATCAGGAGTAAGAGTGTTGCTTGAGAGAGGGTTACATTAATATGCACATAAATGTTCCTCTACTCGGTTGCCTTTTGCTACAGTGGTGAAAAATGTGGTGAACCATCCATATAAATATTTATAAAAAAACAGCAATCAGCACATGCAAAAATACAGTAAAACATTGCTTTGTGTTTGAAGCCTCTATGGCTGTTTTGCCTCTGGGCTACTCACGACACAAATACAAAAACTGATCAGCAGCATCATGTTCCAGCCTTCCTGACAGCTGGCCGTAAATACATTTCCTCCAGGCAGATGATTGGCAGGTAGAGGGGGGCAGTAAGCCTGCAGAAGGTGCGCATTTGTTCAAATGCAGTCAGCATCTATTCGCTCCAGCCCATAACCTTTGTTTACTGAACCTATTACTGTTGCTGGTGGACTGTCCTTTTTTCATAAACAACTGCAGAAATAAATGGTACACTCGCTGGAGGACAACTTTCTAACTTGACTGTCATTGACCTGCATGTTTCTCTTTTATGTTTAAGACCTGAACCATACTGGTGCCCACATATCTGCAGGAAAAACTGAAAATGTAATGTTTGCCGATATCAGTCTCTCTAAAATAGGATGTTTGTCTATTTATATAATCAGTCAAGCTGAAGGACTGCCCTATGCTTTTTGTGATTTTCCCTTTCCTTTAGTGTTATAGGTTTTTGTGCAAAGTTTCTTTCCCAAATACTCCCTCCTGCCTGAAAAGCCTCAATTGGAATCCTTTTTTAATCTCCGTAACATAGTGACATCATCACGTTATGCTCGCGCTTCTATTGGCTAGCGCTCCAACACATTGTATGTGATAGGCTAAGGGGCAGGACATCTCTAAGCAGTTGACCAATCACAACAGAGCCGGCCAGCTAACCAATCAAAGCAGACTGGGCTCTGGTTTCAGACAGAGGGTGAAAAGAGGTGCTGCAGCACAGGCAGTAAGAGAAAAATAGAGGCTCAAAATACAAATACAAACCTGATAATTAGCATAATATAAGGCCCTTTAAAGTAAGCTTGAGAGGCTAATTGGAGGTAGTGTCATGCGTTTGATAAACAACCGGATTTCTGTAGATATGCAACTAATGAGTAATTCTGATCAGTCTAACAATTAGTTATTAATCATTTGATAAATGAAATTAGAAATGTCCATCCCTGTTTCTTAAAGTCCCAGGTGATGACTTTCTTGTTTTGTCAGTCAAAACCCAAAGATCTTCTGTTCAATGTATAAATTAACAGAAAACTCTGTATTTGGGAGGCTGAACGTTTTTGTAATTTTTGCATCAAATCTGACTTCAGCGTTGAACTCAGATTTGAAAAAATCATTTCAATTTTTGAATTGATTTTCAAAATAGTTTGCAATCCTTTTGACTCATTCGACTATCGGATTAGTCAGCTAAAGGATGCAGTTCTACTGAAGATGTGCTGTAGGTGTCGGTCCACCTGCTGTAGTTTTATTGTGATCAATATGAGTCAGTGTGACATCAACAGCCCCCATAGGAAATTACAACCGAGCAGCTAACACTGCTTTTATAAGATCTTCATTGGCTCAGTGGGATGAGCTTCATTGACTCATTCTTAACGACACAATGGAGGAATGAGGACCAGTGAATCTCCTTCTCAGGTTTCTCCAGAGCCGACATTCTCAATTTGTTTCCCAGATTTAATTTACGGAGCAACTTGGCTTCCTCTGAGGCATGCTACACAAGATGCTGGGATCAGCACTTTGAGGAATTTGGGTACATTTGACAGTGATGACACAGCTTCCAGGTTACATGGCATTATCTGCAGCCAGCCTTCATGGCTGCTCGTCACTCCGGAGATGATACCTGTAAAAGGCAAATAAGGCATTTAAAGGTTATCAGACAAATCAGAAATAAACCGAATATATATATATGGCTAATGTTTGATTACAAATCTTTATAAAGTAGCTTTTTCTTTGCTGGTATTTAATCAGAGCACTAGTAGTACTAAATGTTTTGTAAATTGAGTTTCAACACTGTTTTTGACTTATCTAATTACCTGTTATTGCTTCAGGGCTCACTTTTGGTCTATTTTAATTGAACTATTCATATCTTAGACTGCACTGTAACTTTTATCCATGTATTTTTTCTTTTAATGTTTATTTTATTAGCTTTTCTTTTTAATGACTGATTTTAAATGCCATTTTCTTAATGTCTTTCAT